GTTCAAATGACGTGAATGTAAACAATGATAGTTCGCCGTACGACCTTCAATAATGAAGAAACCATACCGTATAATCAACTATAAAATGCCTCGACATGACAAAACGTGATAAAAAATATCAATAAAAGAAAAAATATCAGAATGAGAAAAACCAAGAATAACAATAAACATCAAATATAAAAAGGGACGTCTAATCTTACTAATTGACGTTTAGTAGGTTTCCAAAATACAAGTATTATATATTTTTGCACTTCAGCTTTAATGAAATGTATTGCTACTATTGTAAGCAATGCGACTCGCTGAAAATCAACATGATTTCAACATGTTCAAATGATGAATGTTGTGACTAAAACCAACTTGGTATGTTTTCTTCATAGATAAACACATTACAGGCATTGTTTCTTAAAATGCCTTTTTTCAGTATTTATTAATTAGAAACTTTATTTAAAATAACACATTTCTATAAAGCTTTTTTCTTCTCTGAATGAATATCAGTTAAAGCTATCTTGAGACATGTTTTTCGTCTATCAGTTCATTACTGATGACTTTTGTTTTTGCGACACCAGACACAAACAGGAAGTTGTCAAAGTGACTGTTTTCCCTGCTTGGATTAATTAATGATAAGATAAATTTTAGTTGATTAATTATTCAATACTGTCTGAGAATGTAATTTATCTTTTTTCTATACATTATGCAGTACCAACGATACGCAATACATATATTCTTTTCAGAAATGGTATCCCTGATGCTTCTGTGTTTAACTCACTGATTACAGGAGTAAATAAATATATCTTTCAACTTTATTTTCAATTTTAGATTTTTGATTATTATTTCAATCCTTATTTGATGTATTTACATCATTTTCCTTGTTATATTTAAATAATTATAAATCAGTTCTAATTATTTAGTGTGCATCGTCCTTGACTTTTTTTTAATTCAACTAGACATACATATTTGTTTAATTAGGAACATACTTTTACTTCAACCTTTTCATACTAAGGACGCGTTTTCATATTCTCAGTTCAAAATCAATTTTTCAATTTGTTTATAAAATTCAATAGCTCAAATTAAAAGTAACCTTCGTTTTTAGCCTAGTATTCGACCAATACTCACCGATTTTATTTGTAAATGTCATAACACTTAAAACAATATACTGATAAAGTAAAAACTGACAAAGTTATAACCACTCGCAACGAAGTTGCGAAGCTTATAATGTTGAAACCCGTCCGTCATCATTTTGTTATCGACTGGATAATATTTTGTTTATCATATCCTCTTCATATGTGTTTTAAAATTTTCACATGTCAAAAGCTCGCTCAAATTCGAAAATAGAAAAATCTACAAAATTGAACAAGGAGGGAAATTGTAAACAAATATCCCATATTGCATCTTGTTGCGTGGATATTGTCTTCATTTATATAAGATCCTCATAAAATTTGGATGAGGGCCAACGCACATCAAAACCTTAGGTCAGTAAAGGATAACGAAGGAGTAATCAATACTGTTTGTCTGAAGAAAAAAACCTGACAACACCATGAACAAACGGATAGACGACGAACAGTCAACTGAATAAACTTCAAATATAAAAATTAGAAGATATGGTATGATTGCCAATGGGACAACTCTCCACAGGAGACCAATTGACACCAAATTTAAAAACTATAGGGTCACCATACGGCCTTTAACAATGAGTAAAACCCATACAAAAGTCGGCTATAAAAGGCCACTAAATGACAATTGTAAAACAAATCAAACCAGAATACTAACGGCCTGATTTATGTACAAAATAGTGAACGAAAAACAAAATTGAGCAACAGACGACAACCACTGAATAACAGGCTCCTGACTAGAGACAGACACATACAGAATGTGGCGGGAATAAACATATTAGCGGGCGTGGACAGTGGTGTAACAGTACAGCATATGAACAAATTATAAAAATTAATTGAAAAGAGTTTATCTCATCAGATCGATACAAAGCACAAAAACATGTAACAAAAACACAGAGTGGACGTGGCAGGGTACTTGTACATCCCCACAACAAAAAGACACTGAGCACAGATCTGAGAGTACTCGCAGTTACTGCCAGCTAGTTCAAAGTCATTAACAACTAATAACAAAAATCATGCATCTAACACTAAAATATCAATCAGTAAACATCCAACATCCAATGGATTTGGTATAAAGACGTCATTAAGAGTCAGAGAAAAACATGACCTTGTGCAATGCCAAAATACAGGTATCGACAGATTGTAGAGCCATGAATGTGCATATGTATACAAGAATAATATTTAGTTTAATTTTAATTTACTGATAACAAAATCAATATTAATACGAATAGAAACAATATTCAAAGCTCTAATAACAGTGCTGAATTTGTAACCTCTTAGAATAAGTTAATTTAAAGGATCGTATCAAAATGTACGTGCTCGTTAAACAACATTTCCGTAAAAATTAGAATGTCATATCCCGTTAAGAATAAGTTATCTACAGGTACAACCAAACTTCAAAACAAAGTCCTTATATCTATGGATGAATTTAATAAAGGCTTTAAGTAATTTGTGGTAATGAAATCCCTGACTTGATAATTTTCCAGTAATACATAGATTACTTCCATTGAAATCAAAAACGTCACAACAGACACAGGAATAGCGAACGAGTTGTGATATATAAACACCGTAAGATGGTGTTAAAGGAACATCGCCTTCCGTCCAAAAACGGAAAATTAACAATAAAAAAACGTTAATTTTTGTGAAGAGTTTCCCATGTGAAACTGAAATATTCAAATCAAGGAACGGACAGTTATTACCGTTTATATTTGATTTATCTAAAGTAAGTTCCTAAGGGGAAATAGCGGCAGTATATTTAGAAAATTATTGACTATTTAACGAAAAAATATCATCAAGATAATAGAAAGCGTTGTTGAATTTATCAATTAAATGCAATTAAGACGGGTCTTTACTGAGTTTGGTCATAAACTGTTATTCATAACAGTACAAGAACAAGTCTGCTATTAAAGGAGAGCAATTGGTGCCGATAGGAATGCATGTAACCCGTCGATAAACTTATTTGCCGAAACGTACATAAATATTACGGAGGAGAAAATTATCAGCTTCAATCATCTCATCACACCTCTAGTAAGTATATCTAGCATACTTACCTTTCTCATTAGAGGAGAAGGCTCTAAAAGTTGCAGCAAATTTAATTGCATTCAGATTTACCAAACGGCAATTTAATTGAATAGGACAAATTTTGTTTGAAAAGATTGTGTGGAAGTGTAGTGTAACGAGTTGAAAAGTAAAAACTGTCAGGAGAATCAAAAAGACCATCAAAAGCACGTGATGTATCTAAAACATAAAAAAAATTTACACACCAAAAATAATTAATTCCACTATTTTCATGTTTTTTTTATGATATTAAGCTCTTTGATAGTAGTTAAAGAACTAGCTAAAAGCACTGAAAGATTAGTTGTAAAACACTTAATAGAGGCCGAGATGTAACGATATTTTACTAGTTTTTGTGCAGTTTAGTTAAACAATACATAGTAGGGACCTTCAAATGTTCAGAAGAGGCCTTAAGGTTGCATTTCTGTAAATATATACAATGCAATTTCCCATAGGAACTCCTTTTACGGCTAAAACTATACCACTTTTACTATGAAGTTTTGAAAAAAAATCATATCCTAGAATGGAAAGTTCATATGCACAACTATTTTGTTCAAAGGTCAAAATATAGGGCTGTGCGGCATATTTTCAACGTTTATATGACCCGAACTTCTAAGAGTTTAAACTAACACTAAGTTTCTTAACTACCCCTTTCTTAACAGTAGGATTACCACCGATTTCAATATTAACAATATGCATATGTATATTTACTGGTAACATTCCCAAGTTATGTCTCTATCAGATGAAACATAGAGATCATAACTGGGATCCAGTTTGTAAACAAAATTAATTATCTATGAATATTCTATATCTCCCCAAAATGTTGGCGTTTGTAGCATTTCAGTGTTTCTGTTGTTCCGTTGTTTTCCTCTTATAGTTGATGTGTGTCCCTCGGTTTTGGTTTGTGAGCCGGATTTGTCTCAGTTGAAACGATTTATGACTACTGAACAGCGGTATAATACTACTGTTGCCTTTATTTGGTGGTGTCTTTTGTAGATTTATTTGCATGTATGTTTGATGTTTTAAGTCATTAAAATATGCTGGATATTCAAACATTGGAAAAGTGTTTATGAAATTATGATTTATAATACAGTATGTACTATCTACAACAAAATTATTTTTTGTTGATGTCTTTGTCACCAAAGTTTGTATATTTGTTTAAATTTTTTATCAGTTGTGTTTGTATATCTATGATGTATATATGTTTACACTGTTTTTGGATGCAGGATCCCATTTATTGTCGCGTTTACCAATTATGTCTATTTGGGTTGGGCTCCTATTTCTTTTCAATATAACGGAACTATGATGAACTGTCACACAAGTGAGAGTTTAAGCGAGCTATAAAACCATGTTTACCCCACCATTTTCTTCGGAAAATGCCTGTACAAGGTCAGTAATATGACTGTTGTTTTCCATTCGTTCGGTTGGTTAATATAGTTTGATTTTGTAATGTTTTATGGATTGTTATGCACAAAAAATTCGGATTTCAGTATTTTTGTGAATACTTTTGTGTACCTATATTATTTTATATTCCTTTCTCGTATGAACTTTTGTATTCAACTGATTTGGAGATTAAAACGAGGAGAGTTAACATTTTGAACAATAAGTTAAACTACGCCACTTTTTCAAATGAATTGAAGATTTTCTACGACATATATTCATTTATATCTTGGGATTCATTAAAATAAAAAAAAAATCGACAAATTATAGACAAAGCAGGGGTTCCGTTTTCAGTTCACGTACATTTGTATTATTATAAAACTACTGAAATACCGAAAATGCTTTATGAAATAACTAAATTGCAATCAAATAAAGATTGATTTCTTTTCTTTTTAGGTATGTTACTGGCTACATTTTGGTTTCACGTTCTGTGGTTTTTAACTGAATCAGGTAATGATTAATTAGTTCTAAAGTATCAGCCATGCACAGTCAAGGTTGTGTCCTATAAATCCTTTATTAAAACTTAGTCATATATTGGAAAAGTCATATGATATGTCAAATCTAAAACACAAGTTTATGAATATACTTTATACTCTTGACTATAAAACACGTGTATATGAATTTTTTTGAAAAAAAGAAAAACATTTAGTCTTCCAAAAGCTTCAGAAATGTTCTGCTATTGAATTTTGTCTTCCCGTACTCTAATTCGCTATTTCATTTCCGTATGCAATGACCTTAACCATGTTAACCAGAAGGACTCTCGTTATTACGTCGGTAATCACACAGCGCAAGTGTGTGGAACACTCCGTGTTTAAAAAGGTAAATAAACGTGGAAGTTAGATAGTGTTAATTGGTTCTGAAAGAAAAAAAATTAATACACCAAATCTTTTAACAACTGTTATAACAAAATTTTGAAAACCCATACAAAATATATATAAAACATAAGCATCGCGTTATTGCATGTCTTTCATCTCAATTGTGTTTACGTGCTCCATGATCCTGTGTTGATTGTTTATTAAGGTCACGTTCGGTAAACTTCGGCAATGAAACATGAAAGTTAATTAGCGGAGAAAGTTTTTACTGAATGAAATATTTTTGTCGATTGTATGTTATGGATTCGTAATAATTGTAAAAGTAAATACACAAATCGTGCATAGAAGACTTTGTTTAGTACATACATGTATACGCGCTTTAGTTCAATAATTTCTTTAACATAATATAATTTCAAGAAACACATTTTATATGACTTTATATACATTAGGGAATGGAACAAAGATGCCATCCATTTTTAAAGATAACAATCATATTTACATTTCATTAAGTTCAGATGGGTTAATGCATAAGGAGGATTGTAGTAATTTCTTTGTTAAATTAATAGTTCATCTTGATTTTTCAGAGATGTACAAATGTTTTTAAGACGTCAGGAAAATCACAATAACGGTAAAAAATTATATTTCGAAGGCCTAACAATAAGATGAACAAACGAAAAGGACAAACAAAACAAATATTATTACATAGAAAACCGAACGTGACCTTAATAAACAATCTTACAAAAACCGGGGGATAAGATATTCTTGCTTAATTAGTGACACCGTGTCAGTGCTAATGACAAGTAAAAATCCGATGATAAATCGCATGTGTTATTTTAGTTATATTTTTAGTCCTTACGTTTACTTTCTACGCAAGAGGGGCAACATAATATCAAGAAAAATTTAAAACGTGAAAAACGAACTTACTTAATCATTTGAATTTATGATCCATATATGTAGTGAAAACTAATCATAATAGGAGATGCAGTAAGTTGATACTAAACCGTAGGGAAAGTACCTTATCAATCTTGAGTCACACAATTTTGAATTTCTTATTATAGAACGAAAGTCAGGTTTTGATACGCAAACGAATTAAAAAAACATTCGTAACGTTTTTGGCAACCAGGCAAACAATTTCACCCAAGCTCAAATCATTGTTGGGGCCGTTTTGAACGTTTGTATGAAGTAGTGTATAAGCTTGTGCTCCGTGATGAAAGTCTTACTTCAGCTATACATCCATTAAAGCGCCCTTCCTTTGTTTCGAGATTTGTCATGTATTGTAAGGATTTTAAGTCATTAATTAACAATTGAAATTAAAAAGAGGACGTTTAAGGAAAACATTCCTCAAATAACTGTTTCAGAGAACAATACATCTTGAGCAAAAGATTTTAAAGCGCACATTAAAAATATTGTGATTGATTGACATTGCCCTAGAATGAATATTTGCACAATTGCGGAACGTGTTTTCAATTTAGGTGTACAAACATTGAATTATTCATACTTATTTTGATTCTGAAATGGTGAAGTTTCTATATCAAACAGAACTTAATTAGAAACACAAGAATCTATGAGAAATCGCAATAGAAAATAAATTAAAATTAAATTTTTGTTGTTAAAAGTTACATGCAAATGTGTATATCTGACTGAAGTCAATAACTTTCCCTGGTAACAGTGACGAAGAATAAATATGATAAAGGTATTTTTAAGTAACAAGATATACCAATTTAACATGCATGACTTCATCAGCTTCATAATTTTAAATTATCTATGAACGTAAACATTCTTTTAGAAACTACTGCACGGTATGCTATCTATTTTTTGTAAGAGTTAGAATTGATACTGTTGATGCACAATCGATTTTGTTAGTTTGTTTTACCAGGAATTATGTCATAATATTTGAACATAGATGAACTATCTTTTATGTATTGCTAATTGCTAATGACTATCCTGGCTTATGAACTACATGTAAATTAACTCGAATTAATAATTCACATTGATAAATGTCTACATCTACTACCTTTATACAGCAATACAAGATAGGCTGGCAACAATCGTGAGGCATTCCAAATACACTTTTGTATATGAATTTTATAACTAGAACAAATCAGTGAATAAAAACAAATAAACATAAAAAGCACAACCACAAACGATAATAGAACTACCACATCAGGTAATAATTAATTAGTTAAAATGTATCAGACATGCAGTGTCAAGAGTTTGTCCGATAAATCCTTTCTAAAACTGAGTTATGTGTTGGATATTAAATCATCATGTTTGAATACATTAAAGAATGGAAACATGATGACAAATTTTTTTAAGAAAAAACAAATCATCTTTACGCAGCATTAATTTCATATGGTGAATGCATAATGAGGATTGTTATCATTTCTTTGTGAAACAAATAGGTCATACTGTTCTTATATTTCTTTGATGTACGAAAAGATCACCAGAAAGGGAATACAAATTCTAATTTGAAAAACTAATAATGAGATGGAAATAACAAAGGCACACACAAACAAAACACTACAAACATGACAAAGAAAAGTTAAGATAAACACTTACAAAAACCGCGTGGATGCGATCTTCTTGTTAAACTAGTGACACGTTGTCAGTGCTAATGATAAATAATACTCCGATGAAAAATCGCGTTCTTGAAAACGCACACATGTTAACTTTTGCATTGATGAGCCATTTGTTTAATGATGACTTCCCCTAATTAGAAATACAATAAGAGGTACATAAACGGAGACAAAGTACCTTTAAGGTAAATCTCAACAGCATTGCAACATCGAGTCACACACATTTGAAGTTCTTATGATAGAGAGCAAGTCATTTTTTATACACTAAACGAATTGAAAAATACAACTATGTGTAACGTTTTCGCAAACCAGTAAACAATGCCACTGTAAACAAATCTAGTGCAAGGGACCGTTTTGAACTTGTGTAGTGAGATGAGGTATGGGATGTTGCTCCGTGATAAAAGTCTTACTACAATTTTGAAATACAATATATCTATCAAAAAACGCCATTCCTTTGCTTCGAAATTCCTCATGTATTGTAAGAATTTTAATTCATGAATTGATACAACATATCCATTAGTTTCTTTTAAAATCAAAAGATTGACATGTAAGGAAGGAGCTACCTAATCAATCGTTTGCAGAATACAAAACATTGAGGGCAAAAAGACGAACACCAAAATGTTGTGATTGATTGAAATCGCCTTACAATTGATATTTGCACAATTTTGGAACGTGTTTTCAATATACTGTACCAACATTGAATTAACCATTACTGTTCAGATTCTGAAATGGTGAATTTATTATATCAAACAGAATTAAATTAGAAAACAAGAATCTATGAGCAATTGCACTATAATGAATTCACATAAAGTTTTTCTTTCGAAGTGAAAATTAATTATTTTTTTTCAGTTTAAGTAACAAGATATACCAATTAAACATGCATGGTTTCATAAGCTTGTACAACTCCTAATTATATAATATGTATGAATGTAATCATTCTAATATAAAATTCTTCACTATCTGCATTATATGCTATAGGATTAAGAGTTACTATCGATACCGATGATGCACTATTGATTTTGTTAGTCGGTTTTACCAGTAATTATGTCATAATATTTGAACATTGATGAACTATCTTTTATGTATGGCTAATAACTTTCCTTGCGTATGGACTAAATTAAGTCGAATTAATAATTCACATTGATAAATGTCTACATCTATCGCCTTGAACATTACCTTATGCAGCTAAATAAGTACATTACATGTATGTTTCATAAGAATCCTTATTTCTGACTGGCTGACAACAATCGCGAGGCATTCCAAATGATATTTTATTCCTCGATAAAATCCATTTTCCATGACTGCATGTGATTCCCATGAGACAGGAAACTGAAAGCTTGATATAACAAGTAATATCATGGCGGTGGCATATAGATGAAATAATTAGAATTGATTACTTTGTTTTGTAATTTTATAGTGTTGTAAAAGCGTTGAACATATTTTTAGTATGAAGTGCTTCCGCACAAAATGTGCATTGGTCAACGCTTTTACACCCCCAATAAAATTACTAGCAGAAGCTTTCGATTCTGATTAGTTCATTTATATGCCAAAACCTACCGAATAAGACTTACATACAGGTTTAAAGTTGCATAAGCAATATGACTAGTGACACATTTAGAGGATGGTCTACTTACCCTTCCTGAGCCATTCAGATCATTCCGATTTTGGATAGGGTTCGTGTTGTTCAGTCCTTAGTTTTCTATGTCGTGTTTTGTATACTGTTGTTTGTTTTTTGTTTGTTTTTTGTTTTCATTTTTTTCCATTGCGTTGTCAGTTTATTTTCGACTTATGAGTTTGAATGTGTCTTTTGTATCTTTCGCCTCTCTTAATAAAGTCTTGTCTCTTGGACACGACGGTAAGGTGCCTTATTGATTTTTTCTCATCAATAATCAACAACCGTTTTCTATATATTGATAAACGTGCATGACTGTTTGCCATACAGTGTGCTTAACTGACATAAATATTTTGAAACCGTTCTTGAACTCCATTTGACATGGAAGAATTGTCTGTACAGCAATTAACTATTTCATGATCTCGTGTAACAACTAGCTGTAGTTGATAAATAATTCAGTGCCAACTAAGAATTACAACATCTTTCTCCCGACTTTAATAACATAATTTCAACTGTAAGTGTCAAGATGTGATAAATATTGAATAATTTATTCTACACACTAAACGTCCCACCAAAACCGCGGGTGATCTCAGGTGCACCAAAAGGGTAAGCAGATCCTCAACAAACGCGGTGATACTAGTAAGTATAATACGATAGTTCACATTTGGGATCGAAAAGGATGGGACTGTGGTTACAACAATTGGAACTTAACAGTTTGTTATACGGTGTAGCGTTTGTTTTTTGTTTTGCTACTCAAACTTAAAAGAAATGTTTGGTATATACCCGAAAGACTCTATTCTAGAAATATGCACAAGTGGTGAAGTTGAAATCATTCCGTTGTAAATTTTACGGAGGAGTTGGGTGAGCGTTATGGAATATATGTTTCACAGCTGACGACTGATATACTCATAGGAAAATATGAATCTTTGTTCAATGTCACGTGGGATAGTCGCAACCAATAAAATATTGATTTTGCTATCAATATTTACAGCCAGTGGAATAATAATTTATGGTTAGCTTTGCACCAGATATTTGCAGGGTTGAAAATCACACAAATTTTAAATCATAACTGATTTGTTCTTGTCAAATACATTCATAGTACCCAAATAACATTAAAACGAACATAATTTGACCTCTTTCAAACTTTCAAATTGTATTGCGCTTTTGATTTTTATGAAATTTAAACTTCTGAATACTTTATTAAACTTCCACATGTAACGTGTGTTTATTCTCCTTGATTTCCTTGCTATCAAACGAAATCTTGCTAGACTTTTTTATCAGGTGTTATAAAAGTTATCATGCAATACGGTTTCTCTAGTAAATATATATTGTTTAAGAAAGAGGCAATTGTAGTATACTTTTGTTCATAAATAAGAATTGAAAGGTCTTTGTCCTTGCTTTTCAGATATAATCAATTGCAAATTTGGCGGGAAATGATTTTCTCTAAATGTTTCAACCATTTAACAATTGCACATTTGTCTTTCAAAAACTATGAAAACATATCAAGGATTTTAAAACATTAACAAAAATGGCTTTTTAAACCATATGTTATAACATTATGAAAAGAAAGGAAGGGGTTAGCGAGCAAAATATGTATTGGCACTATACTAGAGGATTTCGGATATCTGACAAAAATTAAAAACAAGAGTAGCAAACATTCTTAATATACAAATCTTGACAAACAAACTTAATCTAAAGTTCTAAACAGATCGAGATCGACCGTGTCGACAGGGTTAGTGTCTCACTGATAACTTAACCATCGTACACAGAGGGATGTATATCCATTAACAGATATAACATTTCAATAGTCCAAAACAATACTTTTCACTTAAAGACAAATTATTAATTCTTGCCCATGATCTCCTTTTGTATTAATTTTAAATTAGATATAAAGACATATTGATTTAATATTCACTCTATTGTTAATGTGAAATTATTTAATGAGTTGAGCAAACATTACGAAATTATTTGTCAGAATTCATATACTATCTGGAAAAAGACTCGCTATAAAGTAAACAATGTTTCTAAAAAATCTTTTTTGAAGATTAATAGAACTTTACGGACGATATCAAGATAGTGACGACACTTCGAAGTCAGAACTCTGTGCTTCTCAACAGAAAAAAAGTTGCCACTACAACAACGAATACTAAATATAAAACATGAGCGCTAAGGATACAATAGATCAACAATAACAAAGACAACAATATAATTGTTATAATTATACAATATCCATTGTTTATGAGTACTTGTCACACGAGACAATAAAAGTATTTATGAACATTTATTGCTGTATCGATAATTACGCAGTTAATATAGGGTTCGGTCATTGTTTAAAGTATCATTTGTATATAAAGGCTCAATTCAATCATCTGTATGTACGGATTCTTTGATTGATTGTTTTTAACGGGTGTTTGTTTGTTTTTATTTTAATTGCTTTAATTTTTTTCATTCTTGATTTTTGTTTTCTTTGTATATATTTATATTTGTTACTTTTGCTGAATTTATCTTTGAAGATATTTTTCATTTAAGACGGAAATACTTTATAAATCGCACGAAATTCTAAATTGGTTATGTTATCATAATTCTTTTTCGATAGTCTTTTTGTCTTCATATGATGAACCGCCAAATTTAAGAAAAGATGTGAATATTTTATTGATACTTGTATGGCTAAATTTTACTTTACAACATGTGTACATAGACTTTCTTTTAAATGAAAATTCTAAGTCTCCAGAAATGTACGGCTACTGAATTATCATTATAATTGATCATTGTAGAATATCTGTTTCACGGATGACGACTGATATGTTCCAATCGTCGTAACCACAATCCCGTACTCCTTTTCCCCGAATGTGACTAAACGAATTAGACTTATCACCAGGTTTGCACTTACACGCGCAACACATCGGGTGCCACATGTGGAGCAGGATCTGCTTACCCAACTGGAGCACCTTTGATCAACCCCGGTTTTTGGTTGGATTCGTGTTGCTCGGTCTTTATAGATATAAGAAGATGTGGTATGAGTGGCAATGAGACAACTCTCCATCCAAGTCAAAATTTATAAAAGTAAATTAGTATTCTTTATTTTGTTTGTATACTGTTGTAATCTTTTGGTCTTTTGGTCTTTTGGTCTTTTCTTTTTTTTTGCCTTGGCGTTGTTTGTTAGTTCGATTCTCCCTTTGGTAACTTTCACCTCTCATTTATCTTCCTTTACCCTAATTCGCCGACAGTTTTCCGTATGCCGTTTTCTTAACATGACAATTTCCAAGATAAATTCGGCAATCGCACAACGCAAATGCGAAGGGAAAAACTGTGATGGAAGAAAAAGTACACACACCATTACTGATTCTGAAAGAGAAATTTTGATACACCAAATTATTTATAACAATTGGTTTAACAAACAAAAATTAACTGGGATTTTATGAATTTTATTTCTATGATAACGCTTATTATTTATGGCATCGACGCTTTTGTGTTTGTTGTTAATCAAGGTCTTGACTGGTTACATTGTAACTTTGTTACCAAAATCCGGAAGTTCATATTATCCAAAGCTTTCAATCAACACTGCAAGAAATAAATTTTGTTGATTATACGTTATGGGTTTGTAATAAATGGGGGGAAAACGTACAAAGAAGGGGTAGTTTAGTATCTCTCCATACATACATGTATGTTCAATGATTTACTCAACATTATTATCACCAGAAACTCGTTTCATTAGACTTGAAATTGGGGGTGGGGTGGGGATTGGGGGGATGGGGGTCGCTCCATCAGTCGGAAAACCATGTGTAATTTGATCGCAAACACCTTTCTGCTGAAAACTAATTTCAATAAACTGATAGATGTATTCTGGTTCTGTTCTGATCATGAATATGCATGGACATTTCAAACAATGGGTTAATGAACAAGTTTTATTTCAAATTTGTTTATAGAGAGAAAATATTATATTGATTTTTCAATATCACTACAATATCAACCGAGACGTCAAATTGATACAATGCCGAGAAATCTGTTTGATAATATTTAATTCGAGTTGATACGGTGTGTAACAATAGTAAAGACAAATCAACTACACTTTATTATGCTCATGGACCTGTGCTATGTCATGACATCTTAAGTGCCATTGTATTATTTTTCTTCATGTACAAGTACATTCGATAAATATAGATATATGATGTTGCTCTCGCACACTCTTCGCACACGCGCACATGAACCGATGGCAATATAGGTTATTTATACTTTTATTATATGTTTGTTGTACTTAAGGATGAACTTAGGTGAAATTAAAAAAATCTAGAATTTAAAATTGATACTATAAGTCAGAAGAGCATTAGTTAAGGAACAAAATAAGCTAAAAATATTGATAGGTTATGGAGCTCCTTTTCGGCATATTTATTTTTTTTTAAATGGTTGTGTGTCTAAATTGAGCTTTGATACCTGAAATTGATTCAAAAAGTAAAGATCAAATTATCTTCACAATTATTCTCTTTGTTTTTACGGTCATTTAAAGATTGACTGTAATGTTTTTTTTTTCTGTCTATGAAGAAATAACAACAACAATGTGGTGCACACTGAATAACCCGCGTAGCGTGTTATTTAAAAATGTGCACCACATTTTTGAGGTAATTTTGAATAGACAGAAAAAAATATTACAGTTTTAAGGAGTTAATCATGAAAAAACGTTGATGACATCACGTTCACATGACCAAATTATGTCTATGAGCTGATAGACAAAAAACGTTCAGCCAAATTAAATATTTCGAAGTATGAAGGATCTTCCATACTTGTGTTAAAAAAGCGTACATTTTACATTTCCAAATATTTTTTTTTTCAATTGTATAACTATGTATTTGTTATTTATTTGTTGGCAGATTACGTATTGTGTGTATACTGTAACGTAGCTGATAGACGACAAACGACGCATTCCTCAGCCTATGATACCAATGGCTTTCCGAACGGTAATTCTTGTAACGGTGTAGATGGATTACCAAGTCAAGATTTTTTTAATGGAACATGTGTGCATACCACTCCGGAAACAGATCCTTGGTGGGAGGTCGATTTAGGAACCACATATACAGTTGATTTCATCAACATATCTGTACGATCCGATAATTCAGACTTTAAAAATTATGGTAGGTAACAGAAATAAAGATTAAATTAAAAAGAAGAAGGAAACCATGATTTCAATAAAACCATATTCTTAGCATTTGGGATAACCAATATGACATCCTAGGCGTAAAGATTGTCTCTTGACAGCATCTTATCTTTTGTATATATAAATAAAGTGGTAGCCCTCCGAACTTCCATCCAACCTTTGCAATTTGCAAATACAGTGTACTCCTGAACTCTGCAGTGCAGGCTTCAATCCGCATACTACTCTACACTGCAAGGAAAACAGATCACAACCGGTGTCGATACAATGCTTTTAAGCCGCTTGACAGAAATTTAAAAAAAAAATATTATTGATATGATTTACTTTTGCACCTCCTATTTCATTTCATCATTTCGAAAGTTTGGTTTTCATTGGTATGACATTGGCTTTATCATGTTCGCATTATACAGACCACTTTTGTATTCGCTATTCCTCCAAAACCTCTAATCAGAAATTAATTAAACTTTCTCAAAATCAATGCCAATGAGGTTTCCTTCTTCATTGTTGATCCAAATTATGTTTTGTCATAAAACTTGTTACCAAACCATGGAATTTGCCATTGCTTTTACTAGGGTTTTTATTTGTATCCGCAACTCCTCATAAACCCCTTAAGTAAGTATTCAAAATTGTCGCAGAATATTAACGATATCATATCATTATTCATATCTTATTTTGATTGTGACAGACATTATTTTGTGGTTCTCTATAGTAAATAATAAAATTAACCATTCCTTTTGGTGACCTTTTGTTGAACTTCGATCAGAATACCTCTAGTTGAAATTGATGATCGATTGACAAATCTAATTCTTGGATATATATAATTTCTTTTTAGTTGTTTTTGGTTTTGAAATAACATCAATGGCCTGATTTATATACAAAACAATAAACGAAAATCAAATTTTATATTCAGCAACAAAAACGACAACCACTGAATTAGAGGATACTGACTGGGACATGAACATACAGAATAAGGCGGAGTTGACCATGTTTGCGGGATCCCATTCCTTTCTTAACTTGGGGACAATAGTGTAACAGCACAACAAAAATGAAATAAGAAATCATTTGAAAAAGGCTTGACTCATCACAAAGCCCACAAAAAAAAAACAACTAACAAAAATACTTGAGACACAAAATAACTACTTGCAGTTACTGAAAGCTAGCCCGTAAAACCCATTAAAAGTTATACAAAAATCATGTATCTAAGACTAAAATAGCAACCAGTAAACTGTCAACATCCAATGGATGTAGTGCAAGTACGTCATGAATAGTCAGAGAGAGAAAAACATGCCAGAATAAAGGTATTGACAGATTGTAGAATCGTGAATGTACATATGTATATAACAATAATATTTAATTGGGTTTTAATCTATTGATAACAAAATAGATAATTATACTGAAACAAACAATATTCAAAGATCTAGTTACAGTGTTGGAATGGTAATCTTTTAGAATATTTAAGTTTATTGAAGGGATCAATTATCTCTGATAAAACGTCGAATTCATAAGTTGAAAAACTGTGTGAATGATCGACCAAAGTCCGTTTTCAGAGACAAAGAAGCTATGAAATGTCTTTCATCTCTTCACGATAAATATGTTGTTGTTCCTGCGGACAAAGCTTCAAATAATATTGTCTTTGTATGTAAATCGTACTACTACGAGTGTATTGTAAAAGAATTAGGAATAAATGAGCACTCAGGTAATCCCACATACAAAAACATATCATTTGACAAGAATGAGATTTTGGCGAATCATAAGTCCTTCATGCCTCCAATGAACATTACATTGAACAGCAAATCTGAGGACTTACCTTGTTTGTATTGGATACCCAAGCATCACAAAATTCCGTACAAACAACGGTACATTGCCGGTTCATCTGCACGTTCTACAAAGGAATTGTCCATTAGATTGACAAAATTTCTGTCCACAGTAAAACAGGGTCTTTAGTCATACTGTGAAACTGTTAACTCGCGTAGTGGTAATAACAATATGTGGATTCTACAAAACTCTAAAGAACTTCTGGATAGTTTTAATTCTCGATCTTTCTCTGAAATTATTTCTATAAAAACTTTTGACTTTTCAACCCTGTATACCACCATTCCCCATGTTAAATTGAAAAATTGTCTAAAAGAAATAATCCACAATACTTTTCAATATAAAAATGGTAGCATACGCTTTGCGACATATTTTGTTAATAGTGAACAAAAAGGTAAAACATGCTACACAGGCGGAACAAATGATCAGTATGCTGGAGTTTCTTGTTGACAACATATCTGTTGAATTTGGAGGTAGACTTTTTCAAAAAATTGTCGGCATTCCTATGGGAACGAACTGTGCGCCTCTCCTTGCCGACCTCTTCTTATTTTCATATGAGTCGGAATTTCTCGAGATACTTGTCAAAAACATGAAGATCAAAGAAGCCAGATCATTTAATTTCACATTCAGATATATTGATGATGTTATTTCCATAAACAATCCAAACTTTTCTGATTGGGTTCCATTGATATATCCTCCAGAACTAGAAATTAAAGAAACAACAGACGCGGCTTCCTCCGCCTCATATTTAGACTTTAACCTCGAATTTGACATCAGCGGTCATCTCAGTACCAGAATATGTGACAAACGAGACGATTTTAATTTTGAAATTATCAATTTCCCCCACCTTATTGCAATATACCAACTTCACCTGCATATGGGATATACATTTCCCAACTCATTCGGTATTCAAGAGCTTGCAGCTGCTATTCGGACTTTGTAAAACGTCACCAGTGTCTGAAAAAAAGCAAAAAGTTGATGAACCACGGTTATGTCAAAGAACGTCTTGTCCTTTTTCTAAACAAGTTCATCGGAAGATACCAAGACCTTGTTGATAAATATTCCGTATTAACTTCACAAATAATACATGATGGTCTTGATGTATAGATTCTAGGTACTGACGTTGTTTATCATCTTAATTACGTATTATAGTGTTCTTTGTAAATTATTAACGTTTACTGTTTGGTCGATTTTTGGTAATATTCTTTAGATGTGCCTCAGTACTTGTACAACCCGCCATTGTATTGTTGTGCTTTCGTCATTTTTTGTATTCTTGTGTTTCAATGTTGCGTATGTGTTTTGTCTATATGCCATTTTGTTTTTATTTGTTGACATATTTGTTTGTTTTTATAGTGATTGAGATTATAACACAATGTTGACATTTTTACCTATTATGTCTGTTTGTTTTGTTCACACATTGTTGTCCAAATAATGAAATTTTATGCGACTGTCATACAAGTGAGAGGTTTAGCTAGCTTTAAAACCGGTTTAACCCATCATCTTCTACTTAAGAAAATGCCTGTACCAAGTGAGGAATATGACAGTAGTTTTCCATTCGTTTGATGTGTTTGAGCTTTTGATTTTGCCAATTGTTAAGGGACTTTCCGTTTTGAATTTTCCTTGGAGTTCGGTATTTTTGTTGTTTTACTTTTTAGCTTACCTGAGTCGTATCTAAATTTACAGACTCAGTAAACAAAATCAACGGAAAATTTGGATGTGCTATCCCGTTAGTAATAAGTTTGGTACAGGAACAGCCAAACTTCCACACCAAACCAATCTATGTGAGAATTTAGTAAATGTTTGTAATTTGCGATAACGAAATCCTTGACTTAATGATTTACCAGTAACACATAGATTACGTTCATTGAAATCAAAAACGTCACTTCAGACAAGGGCATAGCCTACAAATTAGAATATATATATACCGTAAGATGGCTGGTGTCAAAAGAACATCACCGTCCGAAAGAGAAAAATTAGGAATAGAGAACAAAAAATCGTCCTTTATGCCGTAATTGTTTGTGTAGAGCTTCCCGTGTAAACTGAAATGTTTAAATCTAGGAAGAGACCGTTATTGCTGCTTTTACTTGATTTATTTAAAGTAAGTTTCTTTGAATATAATCAGAAAATTCTTGATTATTTCACGAAAAAACGTCATCCAGATAATGGTAAGTAATTTATCAGTAAAATGGTATTTGGACGGATCTTTACTGAGTTTGGTTATACACTGTGATTCATTAGTTGTCTTTAAGTACATCTTAACTTTTTGTCCTTATATTCTGATGGCAGACCTTTGCTGAAGGCAAACCCCTAACGCTTCTTTTCTATACATTGCTTAAGAACAAGACATGATAATACACATAAATCTATTGCTAACGACCTTTAGCACGTTTAGATGTCTTATTTTTTCATTGTATTGTTTTGGCCCGTCTTACTTTTTTCAACTTCTTTTTGTTATTGAACGGCATATTTTTTTTTTTTTTTGGTTTGATGTCACGCAATCTTTTGCAGTATTTTCCCGTTCAGCGAAAGAAGGCATAAGCTTTCATCTTATAGATTTTATTATTATTAGTGTGCACATTTTTTGACAATTTCATGACTAAAAGAAAATAAAACAGAAGATAAATTCGAATACCCTAAAAGTGTGGAGGTGTTCGCAGTTCTTGATTCATTTGGGAATCAATTCCGTCTAATTAATATTCAGGTTATGGCAGAGAATAATTGTTTTTAGATATTTT